TCCGGTACAACTGCTCTTGTTTTAGGTGACACTGGGAGGTACCACTGTCACACAAAGAGGATTGAGCCAGTTTGGCTCCAGGGACACAGACTCTCAGGAGAGAATTCTGATTCCCAACAGAGAGATCAGTGAGCTCACTGGTGAAAGGTTGTAAAGACACATCGTTCTTATGAGGTGTTTTATCTCCCACTGCCATTTTACAGGCAGACTGGTGAGCCATGGGGCAGGGAATAATGGTTACAAGGCCACACAGGAAATACAGCACAAACCATGAGAATACAAGCTTGTGTTCTTATGGCTGTTGCCTACAGAGGTTCACTTTCTATACCAGCTCAAGATGTTAATTTATTTTGAATGCCGATTCACATACAAAGTGTTGAAGCTAAACCACAGAGGGGCCTGTTGTATTCCTGTCACCAAAGTAGAGAGAAATGCTCTGATAACTTCAGGCTCATTCTTCGAATTGTGCCATTAAAATACCCAGTGTTAAAATATTGCAGGTAAGAAGATGAAAGCTGGCATCAAAATTGTTACTGACTCAAAATTCCTTCTGAATTTGTCAAATCAAGCCTCATTTCAATGGAAGTGGAGTTTATCTGTGCTGGATATATCTGTATTTTCACCTTGTGCAGACGTTACTCCAAGATGTGCATTACAGGGGGAAGGGGGAAGGAGACAAAACACAGAGCTACAGGTCACTGGCTTTCCTTCACATCTCTTTATCTCTGAGCAGCCTTGAGAGGGACCAGCAGCATACGCCAGTCACTCAATTAACTAATCACACCCCTGTTCCTTCAACCCAATATCTGCTCCCATTTCTGATGATAAGCCCAGACTGTGCTGCAACCAGAACTTGCTATCTGAAGGACAAGCTCCCTTAGATGAGTCATGCCACATTTCTTTTAGAATTGTACAGACACTTTCACAAATGTCTGCAGCTCTCTTTTTGTGATGAGCCGGCGTTTGGGCAGCACCTAAATGAGAGGCTCTGAATAGCAACCCTCAAGGTCAGAGTGAATCACAGAGAGGCAGAAATATCACACTGCTGCCAGGAGCCAAGGGGAGAGGGACAAGTGATCTGTGAGGAAAGACTGAAATAACTGTCTAGAAATGGTGAAATGGGCAAAAGAGACCATTGCAACGAGGGGGTCATGCATTGTTCTGCATGACCACTGGAATATAGGAGGAGCAAGGGGGTCACATTACAAAATAATATTGTACCTGTGAGGTGAGGATGACACTGAGGGTTCTATCGTGCCCATCACTGGGAATTTTAAGAGCAGGTTAGACAAACATCTGCCAGGACCACTACAAATAAAGTTAATCCTGCCTCGAGACAGGGGACTGCACTAAAAGCCCTGGAGATCTCTTTCCTGGGAGTTTTCAGGATTTGTTTTTCCTTCCAGGAGTGTTCCTGCTCTCTGCAGTGCAGCAGAGAATCCAGGGCTCTGTGCTGCCCTACAGAGGCTGAACACCTGCAGCTTTTGCCAAGTCATCTTTTAGCTTTCCATCTGTCTTTCGGTTCAGAAATGTCATTCTGAGAACAGACTAGTTCATGCTGTCTCTGGCTGATTCATTGCTCTAACGAGAGTTTTCAATTGCTTACTATTTCTTGAAACTCAGCTGAATTACTGCATTATTACATTAAGGTCCAAACCAATGTCAGCTTTCTGACAAGCCTAATATGACTCTCTAAATCATGATGGTTGGAACCCTTCAGTTCTAGAAATGCATTGCCTTCAACTCTGACACAGTTATCTTTGCTGCCTGATTTTCAGTGGTGTTGTCTGGCTGTGTCCCATTGTTTATGTTGCCTCCCCTAGAAGTTCCATGCTATATGGATATTAATATGTTTATTCTATAGCACAGTCCCCTGTGGGACACAAGTGCATCCCTCTGAGCTGGCAATGTCTTCCCAGGAGGAAAATGCTTCTGCTCTGTGTTGTTATGGGATTTCTCAGACAGTGGTGGAGGAGTAGAGCTGAAAACCAGTTACAGTGGCAAGACATGCTCTCCCTGCCAGGCTTATTAAACTCCTCCTGTGACCACACACGTGGTAATTTCCTTTCAAATCTGCATAACATTTACAATTGTGTGCTCTCAGCCTCTCTGTGGTTTGTGTCCTTCCACTGTGACTGTTGCACTGCAGGGTTCATCTGGAATTATTTGTATGAAACACTCCATTTATAAAATAGGAGTTCATTTACTATTACATTAACTAATATTTAACAACTAATATTAACTAATTATCATGCTATGGAGTTTCTACTCCATAAAATGAAGTTGCCATATGCAGGGAATTTTGTTATCCAAGGTGATTGTTTCCTGGATGCTTAGGGGCTTTTACAGGGAGTTGGGAAGTTAATTCTCAGTCCTATCTCAGCCAAAACATACAGGCCAGGTACTCTTTAAATACATATTTTACATGCTTAGGCTTATTAAAAAAAACAGAAATGTCAGCTTGTAAAACTCTTTGCCCATGTAGCACTCTCAAGAAAGTTAGTCATAAAATCATAAAAGAATGATCTATTCTTATAGTGTCTTTAGGTAATTTTGGAATCCATGCCAAGAAAAAAAGTTTTGCATAGAATCTCATAAAATTCAAGTAATGGTTTGTCATTATAATAATTTCTGTCTGTTTTCGACAGAATGTGCCTGTGAAGTTTTCTTATCCCGTACTAGTTATAGTCCACAGAAGAAACATGAGGTCACTCTCCTTTTTAAATAAAGCCCTTTTCTTTCTCACAAGGTGATTTGGACAGTAGTGGGAAGATGGACTGTAGTTATTTACATTAGCCAGTTCCAGTTTCCCCAGACTGACAGAAATTCCCATGGAAATTCTGGTTACATTAACTTTGACAGAGATATGGGACTGTTTTTGGAAACTTAAAAAAAAAAAACAACTAGGGAATACTTTTCATTTTTATTAATATGCAGTATCTTAATTTTGTTTATTAAAGAAATAAATCAAGGTTAGTTTCTGCTTAGTTTCAGATGGTTTTCACAGGAGACAAAAAAAATGAGAAGTCAGACAAATATTGGCCAAGCATCAACCCAGTAAGGAATCTCATAATAGAAATCCCGAGGTGGACAGCAGTAAAATGAATAGCATGAGAAAAGAGAACATTAAATATGAATATGTTGTTAACATACTTACTTCAGACTTGGACAGTGCTTTTTTGTTCTTGGAGATTAAACACACTTGGATGAGGAATTGTTGTAGCAAACCCTCTGATCCAGCTGCCATCCCATCCCATCCCATCCCATCCCATCCCATCCCATCCCATCCCATCCCATCCCAGCAGGTACAGCCCGAGGGCTCTCACAGACATCACAGGGCACAGTCACTCCTTGTCCTCTTGGGCAGCTCCCAATTTCTATTACAAACTACATGAATTTGAAAATGATGTGAACATTCATTTTCTCTGCATCAAGTCTTTCAGCCTCCCCAAAGTCACTTCTTTCTTTCTCCCCATGGAAACTAATGCAGAAACTCTGGGCTTGCCATTCCAAGTGCAATTAAGGGCACTTACAGCCCCCGAGTTTTGCCCAGCCCTTGAGCTCCAGCATCAGATTTATTTATCTTTTGGTGAAGAAACATTTGTTCTTTTGTAGGTCATTAGTTTTTCTGCTTCATCAATCCCCTGGGTGAGTTGTTAAATGATGTACAGCTTCTGTTTTGCCAAATTCTGACTCTCACCTTCACCTCATGTGACTGAGCACTGGGCAGGGCAGTGAGAAACAAGGGCAAAACTCCAGGTTCCAGCAAGACCATCAGTAAAAGTCCATTTTTAAATTGTATTGCAACTGGAAAGAGAACTGTCAGAGTGGGGTGTCTCCACTAGGTGTCCATGTTTCAGCAATTTTCAATTAAAGCTTCAGTGACCGCAGCAGCCCCATGCAGAAAGCAGAAAAATTGCTATGCTCCATTGAGAGATGTAAATACAAGATAGATTTTCATATTAGGGAAGTGTGCACCTGGGCCTCTGTCTAAAAAGGCACCAAATCTAGCACAAAACACTCAAACCCCATTTTTCACTTGCACACCTTAGACTCTCAAACAGGTCCTTTAAGGCTGGCAGACTTTTCACATATTGATTGTTGTCTCCCTGATTGTTTGCAACCTTTCTTTTCCTAATCATTTTTCAAATTATTCTGTGTTCTGTATTAATTTACAGTTAATACAAATAGTTGGAAAAAGCTTTCCCCCCCTAGTTTCTCTATTCAGAGCTCTGTTTTGCATTCAGGTGAGTGCAGAATCCTTAAAACAGTGGCTCACATTTTTAGATCCGCCTGCATAATTGTTCAATAATTGCTTTGCTCATTACATTTCTCTTCAAATATTGATGCCTAATGTTTACCTACTTTGCCTGAGTATCTAATGGGTGTTGGAAGGCACAGTCATGCTCCTGTGCATGTAAGTTTGTGCTCATAATTTTAATAAAACTCTAGGTTTGTTTATTGAAGATGCTCTTCACTGCACATTTTTGTGATTTCCATACCCATTCATTAATAAGAGGTCGGAGAGCAGCTATTTCATTCAAATACTTGGGAATTCCAAGGAGCTGAAATGAAGACCTTATTTAAGATTATTGAATTCTGTTCTAGGCATAACCCAGCAGATTTTTTTTTTCACTGTTTTTCTTCCGGTTTCCCAGGCATTTTCAGTTTGTTAAATGTAAGGATAGAATAGATTTGAGGGAATGCTATGTGCCAGAACATTGTAAGGCAGGTTCCAGCACCAGATGCAAACTAGGCTCTAGTGATTTATAATTCTCGTAGATGTGAGTGTAAAATCTAAAACTGAATTTGACTCCAACACTTTTACCTCATTTACAATAGTAAGAAAACAGAATAGGTTTTTTTTGTTACATAACAAAATGAAAATCTGGTGTCATTCCATTTAATTTAGACCCTGCCTGGTCCAGGAATGTGCTTTAACATGGCTGTCTGCCTTTAAGCACAGAACACAGAAACAATCCTACAGGCTTCAGATATTACCTGAACTGTGTCTCAGAGCTCATCCTAAATGCTGTCCAGGTTCATGAGTCATAGCTGACAGAAGGACAAAATAACAAGGAAATCAAGATAAAGGCCTAAATCATCACATTCTGAGAATGGAAATAAACCAAATGAATCAATTTGTTGCCAAAAGTATAAGTGTTTTTTAATAAAAAACCCAAACAAAAAACAACCAAAGCCAGAACATCCTCTTACGGAGTATATCCCAATCTTGAATATTTACTTTCCGTTTGTTTAATAACAGGAAAAGGCTTGTAGCTCTTTTGTTGAGTTTTACATGTCAGCATCTAAATATTCTGATGGTATTCTTAAAACTTCTACCAGGAAAAAAACAGTGCCATGTCCTATACTAGGAAATGTTCTGTTTATTTTAAATGCATTTATGAGCACACAAAGGCAAACAATTACCTGTCATAAACCAAGGGAGCAACTCATAATGGCTTGGTGTCTCATTCCTACTTCTTTGTGTAGTTCTTTGGCTCATTTGTCCCTGCCCTTCCTGTGTTCTGTTCCTCACCTCTCCCTGTACCTTTTGAACTCAAGTGTAGGTTAAATCCCTTTTTTCATTGCCCCATTACCTGCTGGGCTCTGCTTCTCCTGGTATCTCAGCCATTAGAAATGTTGGGCTAAAGGTTTATCAAGGCTCTGTTTCTGGACCCACATGACAAGGATGGTCACCAGCATGGAAAAGTGAAGCCTGAAGCCCGAGGACTGATTTTTAAGTACATAATCCTCGGACTGGACTCTGAACGAAAGAATGACAAACAGCTTTCAAAGTTCATTAAGCTTCCTACAGAAGTATTTTAAGCTATTTTGGCTTTGCCTGTTCTATTGTAGCAACTGTAGTAACTGCAGTAAATTTTGGCCTAATCATGTTAAAAAAGAGATAATTCTGTCAGTGTAGGATAGACTAAACTCTATAAACTAGGCTAGTTGTTCTCTTTGCCTAACTATGGGCTTGTTTAAACAATGAGTAAGCTACAAACAGCCAGCCACTGGATTCCTTTGGATCAAAACTGTGAGCACGGGAGCGCTTCAAATCCAGGTTCCAGATAAAAAAGTAAATAACTCATAAAAGGAAGTGCAAACAGTAGGGAAATCTTGTTTGCATCTGTCAAGCTGTGTAAGGGACAGTCAGACTGGAAAGAATGGTCAGAGGTTGAAAAATCCCCTCTGCTCACCTGCAGAAAGAGTGGCATTTTGTGTTTCACTTCCCCTGGAAATGGATGAACCAATACAGAAGCGGCCATATTGCAGAAGGCTTGGTCTTCACTGCTCAAAATGCAGGATAAATAATGGATAAATGGATAAATAACTGTTGGACCTATTCTGAAGTAAAAAGAGGAGACTCAGCACTTTGTATTTACCCTGGTGAAACTGTGCTATGATCCAAGCCCTCCCCTGGAGCTGACCTTGGTGTGTTTAACTCAAGCTGAAGTGCTTGGTCTTCCCTGAGCTGTTACCTCAGGGTTGCTTCTGCACATCAGCTGCCACAAAATCCTCACTGTATGTTTCTGCAAGGTTATTTTCACACATGATAAAATATACAACAGGCTCCAATTCTTTAGCTTCTTCCATAAATCCAGACCAGAGGCGTGTGTGTGGCCAAGCAACATGGGTGGCTGTGTTGGAATATGAACACCACCATGGCTGCACTGCAGCAGGTTATGAAACCTACTGTGCAATTTGTGACGACTGGATTTTGTATCACAAGGGAAGAAGCTGATTAATGGTCAAATGACAACTGGATGTTGGTGTTCAGGTGCATAAAACAACAGATATAAACATACAAATCATACACATATAATTGAATGTCCCAGAAAAACTGTATAGAAACACCCCATTTCTCATATCTTTTCCCTGACAATAGCAGGTAGAAATTACAGGCATAATTTAATGATCTAAAATGTGTTGGCTTTCAACATTGATCATATTTCATATAAGTGATTTTCATCCTGTTGTGTCCTGAAACACTAGAGAGAAATGAAGGACGTTTGAATTAGCACTTTCAACCTGCCACAGATGGAAAACTCCATCTATAAATGGATATATTCCATTCATTGTGTTACAGCCACAGAGTCTCACAGGAGAATCACAATTCTGCAAAATGCCTGCAGGGCTCAGCATCATGTATTTGGGTCTTGGATTAGGGAAAACACTTGTAACGAGAGCACCCTGATGAATACACCTCTGAGAAGGCTCACGTGGATGCCTTTTAAAGTGCTTAAAGTCTGGAGCAACTGACGTGCTCAGTTTGCTCTAGATATAATTGTGTGAGTTTAATGTACAGACTGCCTGGAACAATGGGATAAAACCTCCTGGTTTGTCACACTATTGTCCACTGGGGTGAACAGAGAACCACTGTGTGCTGATCCAGAGAACTGAATCCTTTGGGGAACGAGAAGGGAATTCCCCTGTGAACAGTCTCCAGGACTGTGTATTTTGGATTTGCATTTTGCTTCTGTTCCTATGATGTGCAGGTTGCTGTCAGGGGGTGGCTGCAGTTTTGGACCCTAGTTCTGCAGTCACATAAAGAGATGTTTGGTACATTTAACAGGCCACAGCCATGTAATGACATCTGAACTTCACTTCTTATATTACTGATGGCAGAAAATATCCTCTTTAGCCTTCAGATATAAATTTCTGTGCTTCCTCCTAAAGAATGTTCCATTTTAAACCACACATGCTTTTCTTACTCTTTTACCAGATACTAGAGGTCTTTTTTTTTACACTTTTTTCCTGAAAACTGCTTTTTTAGCTTTTTTTTTTCACCTTGAGGTGTGTGTTTTCCAATTGGTTTTGCTTACCAACACAAGCGTTTTAGACATATCTGCCTTTGCAAAAAATGTTTTTCTAGATCTTTTGAACTGTGGTATAAATAGCAATATATTTCTGTCCCAATAACATAATTATTCTCATTCTTAATGTTCTTCATTCAATTAGCTTATAATAGCTACTGTCTTGCCTCAACCTTTCCTAGGGCAGGGACAGTTTTTCAAATGCAGCAGGAAAATACAATCTTGTTCCTGCTCGAGTCCTTAACACTGTTTTAATGCAAATATTGTGGCCGTGTGTATAATTTTTTTTAGTCACTCAGTGTTAAGTCTTACAGGTCCCAAATTAGGAAAAGTTTTGTAAAGTTCATATTACTAATCTATGGAATTTATACCAAAGGTGTTGAAATCACTTACGCTTTTGCTGACTCACTTCCCCCAGGGATGGCTGGTGACCTCAGAAATGCCCCCACAAGAGTTCAGGGCACATAGTTGCCATCTGCAGCATGAAGAACATACTGAACTCTCAACTCTGGTTCATCCTAAAATTTTTTGCCTAATATATCTTAGTGGTGTGCAAACCCCAGAGTCTATTCCAAAGGCCATTTTCTTTTACAATCTGCTCTGACTCAGATGCTCAGTTAGTGTGGTATTTACAAAATATCTGTACCACCGTGAATTTATCTTGCCAACAGAAGTTAAATGGTTACATATTAAAAAGATTTTATAAGCACGATATGCCACAGTAAACATTAGTAAAAGTTGTTCTAAAACTATTTCTGTCTTTTGTTGGGAAACAATTATTCAGGCTTGAAGGGGAAGACTGCTTAGTAAAAGGAAGGAGAATTAAACATTCTGAGGTTTTAAAGGAACTCTGCTTTGCTGATTAAGTGCTTTTTACAGAAATGCAACTAATGTTTCCTTCTTTTATAATTCTTAAATCAGGCCCAAGTGCCAGTAAATTACTTTCTTTGCTGTGCGTGGAGGTTTATTTTTAGTCACAAGGAGAGTATAGACAGCAGGCTGAAAATCAAGCTGACTGCACACTAAATAAACTACCACACACTTGAACTCTTGGTGTCAACTCATTCATCTCACCGTGGCTCAGCTCAGTTTTCTGTCAGAAACAACTTTTCAGTAGCCATCTGCCAAGGCTCTGAAACCGCCTTACATCTGAGCCTGTGCTTGTCTTCTGAAAGCATCAGTTTTAAAGCTCCAAGATTTTACTGGGGTTGAATTTTGCAGTACTTTGAGACTCACTGGAATTTGGTGTCCTTGCTGTCAATCTGAGAGCAGAACTGCTTGGCAACTGGTGCTGTTCCCTGTGGAAATGTGATGAGTGCTGGGCACAACCACCACGCTGCCCTTCTAGAACCAAAATACCAACCTTGATGTGTGACAGATGAAACTGTTCAAAAGGAGTCTCTCACCAAATGTGTAACATCACCAGATGATGACCTGCTAAGCAGGTGACAAAAGAGAGAATCAGATTTTTTCCATGCCTGCTGGGCTGTTTGTGCAGTTTTTCTCTAAATCGAGGGATCCAAGAGATCCAGCTTTTAAATGAATGATTTTCCTTTCCTCTTGTGTTCACCAATGCTGTTTACCAAACTATAGTTCATGCTGAGCCACTGCTTTTCCCTCCTGTTCCCATCTTGTTGAATCAACACACCAACAGAGAAAGCAGTTCTGGGATGGTCAGCCTGAAGTGTTTGCTACACCATTAAGGAACAGAACATTCTCTCTCGTGTCATCTGGCTTTCAGCAGTGTTGAAAGATGGAATCAGTTAATGCTCAAGCTCCCTGAGATCCATACATGAGCTCTGGTAAATATGCTGTTTGGTTTCAATTAAGTGCACCTCCCCCCTGAAAATGAGACTGCACACAGTGCTGCTGCTTCAGGAGAGCTGGACTCTGCTCACAGCAGCTGACCAGCTAAAAATCGAATTTTTTTCATCCCTTCTCATACTGCAGAGGTAACACAACTCCAAGCAGCAAACTGCTGATTACTGTTCATCACCTGAAACTACAAACAGAATTGTTTGCTGAGTTTCAGTCCATTACAGTGACACAAAGCCATTGGAAGTGACAGATGGGTCACCGAGGGCGTCGTTTGCTGATGATGGGCACAGCACGGGTGAATTTGAGGGCCTCATCTGACCTCTAGATCTTTTTTATTTTGGACACATGGAACCTGTAAGACTCTTATCTTGTGTTGCAGAAGCCAAACTCAATTTGCCAGGCTTGTACTTGGCAAAAAAAAGTTTGTGTGATGTCTGTAGTCAGTGTAATTTCTTATACACATAAATATGTCTCTGTTGTCCTCAAACACCCAATAAAGTCAGACCCAGGTGTCAGTCCTTGTTGCTCACTACAGAAACCATACAAAGAAAATATCTATGGATTCTGGAAAAATCGTAGGATGTGAGAGTGCTGGATGCTGCCTGGCCCAGCAGCAGGGTCAGCAGTGGCAGCCTGGTGGCACTGAAATGGGTTGAAGAAAAGTCTTGCGACTGCAACCCATTAACACAACTCACTGCAAGACTGTGGCAGGATTGCAGCAACTCCTGCAATGGGTCCAAGCCCCTGGGAGAACAGTGTCTGATTGAAAAATGACTGGTGGTTGGCTTCAAATACTTGGAATAAATAAAACAGCAGCTCCTATTATGCAAGGTCTATATACTTTCCTCACAGACTTTCACAGAAATGCCACATTTCTGACACCTTTCCAGCAGCTATTTAGAGACACCCTGGTCTAGGCAGGCAGGATGTGAGACTACAAATATGAATTCTGGGTTCTGTTCCCTGTTCTGACATGCACTTGACAAATAACACCTCAGTTACTCACTACCCCTATTTGCAAAAAGGATTGAAGCCACTTACATACAACTTACTTTGATATTAATAGACAATAGCACTGTTATTTAAGACTTATTATTTTTATAATTCTTTTTAAGAATCCTTTAAAGCAACTCTTTTACAAAAACTCATTTCAAAATTATTATGTATTCATAACAATAGCAGCATCTATCTAAATGCAAATTCACTCCTTCATCCTATTAAGTATCTATAATGCATATTTAAAATCTCCATAAACCTCCCTACTCCATACGGAATATTCTGGTCTCATAGGTAAGCAGCAGGAATTTGAAAAGGCTCTCTAATGTTTTGTATGCAGGTTGCAGCAAATTGGAAAGGACCAGAAAATGTGGATTAAAGTGAAACTGCTCTTAAGGACAGGATTTAACTGTTCATTCACGTCTTCAACTCTGAACCAGCAGTAATGGCAAAAGTTGAGATTCTGAGTGATAGAAAAGCCCATCAGGTATATCTGATTAAATGGGAGTCTTGTATTTGTTCAGGTAACATCAGTTTAGAGGGGCTGAGGATCATCACTTGTTTATAAGAAATCATTCTATCAATTAAAAGGTGACAGGTATTAAACAACACTAGTTCCTTGCTTCTGCCTTCTCTTGTTTCTGATTTTACACATTCAAGTGACATGGAATCAGAATAGATGAAATAAACTCATGCTCTGTTAATCAAAGTCTTCTCATGTAAGTATGTACCTATTTTTATGAATGGGAAATTTAAGTATCCCCTAATGTGCCAAAAAACCAGCAAGGAGTTGTTAAACTCTATCAGACCCCAGGTAGGTCTAATTTAGTAGCACTATTCCAGAGTGACCTTTCCATCTGCTTCAAAGGAAGAAGGGAAAAATGAATGTCAAATGTTGCACTTCTGCAAAAGCTTCTGTCTTTGCTGGAATGGGAACCACAGCTGTGGAAAAAAAATGTGAAAAGTCGAGAACAAGAACTAAACTGCCTGGGTTTGAGCTCATTCTCAAGGGTTATAGCCAGGTTACACTGAGTTTCAGAGGGGAAAAACCCTCCCCTTGCTGCCAGCTCTTAAGCCATGGATTTATAAGGACAGTGGCTCCCCTCCTGACAGTGTCACTCAAACCAAGATGGGTTTTGTGGTCTGAGACCCCCAGTGCCAGCCCTGCTGCTCCTTACACACACGTGATCTGTTCAGAGGGGTGCAAAATAACCCCACACGTCACAGCTGCTGGAAGGCTGAATGTTATTCAGGTTATTTCTACCTCTCATTTCTTAAATAAGAGGTTAAAGGTCAGGAGGTTTCTGGAGCTCATCACTGTAATTTAGACTTCTGCACAGAGTATCCGTGTAGATAATCTCACCCGTTTCTTCCACATATCAGAATTTCAAGGCAAATGCAACTGTTTAGTCTCTGCCACATTGCTGCAAAGTTAAATAATGTCAATGTACATAAATAACTTCAATATATGTACTTTACTACTTGCAATATAATAACAACATGTATTTGCACCACAGGATACCCAAATTCAGGCTGATAACTGTGGCGTGAAAAGCACAGTCCAGAGGTGGGACCTGGGTTACATTTCGGGGGGGGCAGCATGTATTCAGAATTAGCAGATTCTAATTATCAGTGAAGAAAGGAGGTGGTGGGCACCAACTTATTTCATAAGGAAAGCAGGAGTCTGCTGTATCTTATCCTTGCATAGCCAAAACAAAAAGGAGATGCCAAAGCAGGAGCTTCCCCCAGAGATACCCCACTATCTGTGTGTGCCACTGAACACAGGGGGCCAGGCCAGCCAGGTCTGGCTGTGGGGAACAATGTTTTAGTGACATTAGCAGCACACAGACCTCTATGGAAGCTGGGGGTTGTATTTAATACTTGTTTGCAGCCACTTTTAGGAGAATTCCCAGCAGCAGTCAGTTTGTATTGGCAATAAAGTCCTCCAGGAGGAAGGGAAGCGTCGCTGCATCAGCTGCACTGGAAAATAAAAGCAAACCCAGCAGAATGAATATTTTAAACTGGCCAGGAGTGATGTTAATATCATTAATTCTAGGAGGCGTTTTTCTTCAGATAAGTGGCCAGAAACTTCATTTTGTGAAACTGGTGCTGCAACGTTTACAACCATAACAAGAGGTGATAAAAAGGACTTTCAGCCCACACAGAACAGTTTTCTAGAGTAAAATTCCTGGCTCTCTTTAGGTCTGTAATGACCATTAATATCAAGTATGTCCTTAACCTAAACTTTCTCATGATCCTGAAGTAATTTCCTCCCTTCTGTTAAAATTGAGAAAATCGCGGAGAACACTGAAAACAAACCCTGTCTGAACCATCTCCCAGTCTGCCTTCATGCAATGGATGGGCTTTAAGGTCCCTTCCTCCCCTCCAACCCAAACCAGTCTGTGATTCAATGATTCCCATCACTTTGAAGACATGGGAAGGCCACCTGGGCAAGTGTACAACAATCCCATTTTGGAGCTGCACCAAATCTCTGCTATTCATGAACCTCACGAGACTTTGCCTGGTGCTGAGATGAGGTGAAACTTTTGCTGTCTTTTTCAAACACAGCCCTATTGCAGCACTGCAAGGTCCTGTTGCATCAACATGAGGTTTCAAAATATAGTAAAACCAACTTGACCCTCAATTATTTATTTAT